GAAGACTGAGAAAATGGCCCCAAAATTTGAGCATAATATGTGAGAAGTACTGGATACCATTAAATGTCAAAATATTCAGATAATTGGCATTCCAGAAGGTGAAGAGACCCATAAGGGCATAGATAATCTATTCCACGAAATCATGCAAGAAAACTTTCCAAACCTAGAGAGGCATTTGAAGATCCAGTCCCAGGAAATACAAAGGACCCCAAATAGAATCAACCCAAGAAGATCTTCTCCAAGACAGTATAGCCAGGTTGACGAAAACCGCAAAGACAAGATACTAAGATTGGCAAGAGAAAAGCATCAAATTACTTACAAAGGACATCCCATCAGGCTAACAGCAGATCTCTCATCGGAAACAATGCAAGCGAGGAGAGAAAGGGAAAATATATTCAAAGTGTTAAGAGAGAAGCAATTTCAGCCAAGAATACTGTACCCGGCAAGATTATCTTTCAGGTGGGAAGAAAAGACAAGAACATTCTCAGATAAACAAAACCTGAAAGAATTTACCAGCACCAGGCCAGATCGCTAAGAAGTTCTCAAGGGTGTGCTGTATCAGGAAAATTAAACACAGCCTTGCTATTCTTACAGATGTGAAATGGGTTGCAGGTGACACTTCCGTACTTTGACTCCCCCACACATTGATAGCAGAATCCTTTGCCCACTGCCCACTAAAATTTTTCCTTTCAAAGCTGTTGGATGGTTTTTCAATGGCTGAACCACATGACTAGTTCTATCTCCATACATCCTGACCACGTGACAACATTCAGAACTCTTTATTATTCCCTTCCTACTGCCTCATTCTACTATAATGAAGGCACTGTGATTTTTTTGTTTTTTTGGCTTTTTTTCATGCCCTTCTGAGGAACTGCTATGGTTTGAATGTCTCCCAGAAATTCATGTTTTGAAATTAGACTGTATTGACTGTATTGCAAAGGTAGTTAGTGAAATCTTAATTTCTTCATGGTGTCCCAGTTATTTGTTCATGGTGATTGCATCATGAAATCAATGATTGTACAATTAGGTTAATGACATCTATCCAAATCTAATGAGTTCTAGCTCTCCTGAGAAAGGGTTGGTTCTCACGAGAGCTGGTTGTTGAGTCAGGAACTCCCTCTCTCAGCATGTGCCCGCCATCCTCTGTCCTTGTTAGCCACACTGCAGCTTAGTATTTTGGACTTTTCAGCCACCAGAACTGTGAGTTTGTAAATACTGTTTTCTTCATAAAATCATCTAGCCTCAGGTATTTCTGTTTGCCACACAAAAATGGACTAAGACAGGATTCTCTTCAGTGTTTTTTATTGGTTCATTCTTCTTTATATCTTTCTCAAAAGTACATTTCCCCAAATTCTGGTTGGTCATGCACCCTTAACCACCATGCTATAAGCTGGCCCCAGAATATTTTTGAAATCTGATAGTGATTACTAGAATTGTTAGAACCAATGACTATCCTAAGTCACTGAAGAGTAGTCTCACTTTAAAAAAAATTAAGTATTAGACTTACAGATCAGGTTAATGTCAAAGATATTGAGAATTTTGACTTCAGCAAGGTGTTTAACAAAAATACATCAATCGTCTTTTGGGTATAATGGAGAAATATTAGTTTGATGATTGCACCATAAGTATATTGACAGCTACCAAAATAGTCATGTTCTAAACTGCCTACTGCATGAAGAGGTTCAGTGCACATGAGAAACAAAGAAATGTATTTAAATCATGAGAAATGGTGGATAAGAAGATGGAAATCCAGCTCACATGACCCTCAACAAGTCATGTGACTGGGATGGGACTACTCCCATCTGCAGAAAGCACATTCACGGGAGGCATTTCTGCCCCCAGGATGGTCTACTCAGAAGGGTACATTTTTTTGCTGTAGGTTGTATACACTCACCAGAGAAAGAGAAAATGAGAAATCACTCCCCAGGTGAGATGACTATGCTGCAATCCTTCCTCTGTTATCCTCTCAGGATTTAGTGCATACACACATACATGACTGTCATATTTTCCAAGCTGCCAGGTCTCGGATCCAAGCCATGTACTTGTCCATATGAGATCCAGTCATCTCAACTGCCATGCCACCTGACTGGTCCAGGGAGGAATGCCATTGTTTACTCTGTAAAAAAGCATAATGGATTAGACTTAGGTTGATCCCTGCAAGTAACAACATGGAGATATGGGAGATATGAGAGACAGTTTCCCACACCCCAGGGGCAGTACAATTCTGTGCATCCCAGAGTGGTAGCAAAATAATGATAATTTTAGCCAGCTCCACAGTGCACTACAGCTCAATCGAGGATGGGAATGGCAGGGAAGTAGACAAAACACTAGCAAAGCGTAGTGCTTGAGACAAGGATGGCTCAACAGATACCACAGAGACCAATGACTGAAGAGCACTGAGGAGCACGTGCCCGTGGCTCCTGTGGCCTGGCACTCTCTGAGCTCTAGGGAACTTACTAGGAGCCCAGGCCAAAGAGTGAGTGAACCTGAACCAACTGAGATTAAAACGTTTTCAGCTGATTTTTATCTTCTGTATAGAAGATAAAAATAAAAATTTAAGTAATTATAGAAAGTAAAACTTTGCATAGACTGAGATTCAGATGCTATACAAACACAATTGTGCCTAAGTGCTAGATTAACTCTTTGAAAGTTGATATAAATTAGACTCTATTTACATAATCATCATATTTAATAGAATTAGAGGCAGGGAAAAAGGCTATGGCGGGAACATCATCCAATTGGTGGACTTATTTTGGCATTGTCAACTGCTACTTTGGGATATACAGACTTTTCTAAGTGCCCTTAATAATCATTTTTAAAATTTATTTCTTGACTTTCTCGAGAGACTCTCTTGGATTTTATGCACCTGTAGAGTACACTTTTAAACGAATCCATGCAATAGCACAACTGTTTTACATCAGTAGTTTTATTGCTTATGAATGGAAAATTAAGTATGTTTATGCTGCATGACATCTAAAGAAAATTAGACTTTCAATTATAATGCTGGACATTCAACATTGTAATTTCTACTCTTACGAAGATGGCATAACTGTATCTTCAGTTTTTAGTTAAGAATGTCATTGCCTCTAGGGCTTAACATTTGCCATTGATACTAAATCATCTAAGGAAAGATAGGGGACCCTGAGCCTGCTAGGTACAGTCCTGTTTTCTTTAACCTGCATGAGTAGTCAGTTTTTTTTTCTAGTCTCTGGACCTAGCTCAGGAACTGAATGGAGTATTTATATTTCCCACTTAAATGGCAGGACCCAAAATTAATCTGTCTGCTCATTGCCTCTGTGCTAGAACTACATATTTTGACTTTCACTCTGTAAATAAAACAAGATTTTCTTTCTTTACTTGTGTCTAACTCAAAACAATTTGCTTAGTGTCATCAGAAGTTTTATGAATAAAAATAACCAAAACACTTTATCATAGAGGATCACAAAAGAAAATTCTATGGAACTGACTAATTTACCTTTTGAAATAAAATATCATTAATTTTAGAAAATCGTTATCTTTTAAAAATAGCAAATGCTTTTTGGTTGATTAGATAAACTTTCAGAAATCCAGAAAAAAGTTACAAAAATTGAAATAAACAATGATTTACTTGTGAGCAATAAATCTAACATTTTGATGAGTTTTATTTCATTCTATTTTCATTACAATGGGGGAAATAGTACACAAAGAATGCATATTTTAAAACAAAAAAATAAGGCTTATATAGTTTGGGAATTTTTTTCCTTAATAATATATTCTGACCATCTTTCAATGTAATAAAATATTCATCCACAGTATCATTTTAAAGGCTACCCAAGATTCTATTATACAACTTTAACACAAACTGATTAAACCACCTCTCAATGTTGGGCTTAGTCATTTAAAAAAAATGTTAACTCTGATAAATTGGCTTTGATAAATAATTGATGTAGTTAAATATTTATGAACATCCACAATTAATTCTTCAGAATAAACTTCTAGAGTTGAATAGTGGACCACCGGTATCTATTTTTATTAGAATTTTGTTGTCATGGCCAATTAATATTCAGGAAGTATCTCTATGAGGTTCCTCTATGTTATTTCAGAGGTATGCATTCCCAAAACTTCACCAACATGAAACATTTCTCTCCTTCGATCCCCTAATTTAAGGTATACATCATATCAGTTCTACTTTACATTTATTTATTTATCAGGAGTTTCAAGGTTTTTTGTTTGTTTTTTTTTTTAGAGAGAAATTTTTGCTATAGGGCATGTGTGCTCGCCAGACAGACAGAGAGAGACATAGAGACAGAAAGAGAGAAATCACCCCCCAGGGGGGATGATCATGCCGCAATCCCTTCTCCTCCATTCTTCTCTTGAGATTTTTTGCATGGGCACACACCCACCTAGGGTGAGTTTTTTAAGTCTTAAGGTTCAGAACTCAAACCGCAGTTGACTGTGGGAGTCCAGTGACATAACCACTATGCCATCCATCGACTGTTCCCAAATTTCAAGTTTTTGACTTAACTTACTCTGCGAAAGTGCTTTATCTTTAAGATGTCTTTCCTCTCATCTACTTTCTTCCCCTCCAGCCCCACTTGATAAAGAATTTCAGTATGACAGAATTAAGTGAGCCCCTGTATCCATCCCTTGGGTCCTTAGGGTTCCTCAGGGCTGTTCCTTGTGTGCCTGGGTACCCTCCTGGATTCCCTGCTAACCTTTGCATTGAAGAACATTTTGTTCAGGCCTCACAACTTCCTTTTCTTACTTCTGCCCACTGCGGTTTGGTTTGGGCTTCCACCGCTCTGGGTCTCAGCAATGTCTTTCTCTGGCCATGACTCAGTTCACACTTTCAAACCTTTCAAGGCCCCTCACTGAAGATTCCAAGGCAGGCCAGCTGGTTTTCCTCTCAACTCCTTCCAGGCCCCTGTAGGACACACACAAACTTGAGAGTCAATTTCATATCACCAAGGGGTGTAGGCTGCCGAGTAGGTCATAAATTACACCTCACTCTTTCAGCCTCACTGCCTCCTGTGGTGTCCTGCAGACCCTCACTGTCCTTGCTTGCCCTAACCAACCATACTCCCTGTTCCATCTCCAGGGGTGGGCAGAGCAGGAAAAGTGCATGAGGAGTCCTTCCTGCCTCTCTTCTCTTTCCCATCATCACTGGCAGAAAGGGGCTTTTACTGACCCTCTTTTGGCTGCAAGGACTCTCTCCTTTTTTGTTGACCTATGGTGATTCTATTGCTATGAGAGACATAAAAAGGAACCAAAAAATATTAGCTTAATGGTATTGAAATATCTGACTACCTACTAAAAGTTCATTTTTAAAAAACTTTTCCAGAGAGCATATCCCCTCACCAGAGAGATACAGAGGGAGGGAGGGAGAGAGAGAGAGAGGGAGAAAGCACCCCTATGGAGCATGGTCACATCACAATTCCATCTTCTCCATCTCTCCTTCCTTTCAGATTTTGGGCACACATGCACAACACATGGCTTGGTGCATTTTTCAAGCCAGAGAGTCTGAAACTCAAACCATACAGTGGGATCTAGCTGCCTTAACCACCATGTCACCAGGTGGCCCTAAAAGTTAAACTTAATCAATAGACATACTTAAAAAGAGTGGTACCTCTTTTTTATTCTAGTTATATAACTCTATCTGGGAAGAAAAAACGTGATGAGTATTGATTCAAAAAGTATTGCTCAAAGCAAGAGAATTAGGCATGGGTGAGGGGTAGGGGGTAACATGGGCATTGGAACTATTGCTTTTTTATCACAAATATGCATGTACTATTTAACATACTATTTTATGAACCTCAAATTTCTATTTATTTGTATTCATTACACCATGAATTCATAGGGAATTGTTTCCAGCAATTCAACCTCCTTGCCCTTGATTCTCGAAGTGAGATCCTTTGAGTGGTGCAGAATGGCACTGCAGTTGAACCCAGACCACCACCTCTTCATCTTCTCTTTATGATCATCATCCTTGATTCATTTGAGGGGTTATCTCTGCTCTTAGACTATTCCATGGGCCCAGTACACACATTATTCTCTTGGCAAGAACCTTCACCTTCACTTGTTTAACCTTATAGAGCCTTCTAGCTTGGCCAATGTTGTTGAGCAAATGTTCCATGAATTTGAGAAAATTATTTAAGTGTTTCTGAATCTTGATGTCTCATCTACATATTGGAGGGAAGATGGTAGCCTCATTGCAGGACACTAGCGAAGCAAAGACATGTTAAGGCTGGGCCAGCAGATAGTGTAGAGGCAAAGACAGTTGAATCTCATACGACTGACTGCATGGTTCAAATCCCACTCCAACAACTTGAAAATCATGCTGGGTGCATGTGCGTGCATGGCCAAAGTCCCGAAAGAAAAATGGAGGAAAAGGGATTGCATCATGGCTATTCCCCTGGGGGTAATTTCTTACATTCTCTCTCTCCCTCTCTCCCCCTGGAAAGCACATGAGCCCTATAGTGAACCAAATAATAATACTAATAATAATAACAATAATAATAATAAATTTAACAGGTATATTAAGGTGAAATTTCTGTGCCTAAATTTTTTGGGCATTGACATACTTCATGTCCTTGAAATTTAAAAAGTAATAAAAACCTACGGTAGTATGTTTAAGGTATTTTTCATTAAATTGTCCCGTTAAATAGGGAAACTAAAAAAATCACATTTAGGTGTTTCTTACTTCAGAATATATTCCTTTTTATCCTATTTTTTATTAAAAATATTTTGCTTTTGGTTTTGCTTTCTCATTGAGAAACACAAAGTCTTCTTATATTAGATGACTAAATAAATGCTTTCTATCCATAATGTCTCATATTTTTTCTCTAAAAAATGTATTTCTTTCAGAGTAAGAGACACACAGTGAGAAAAAGATGGACAGAGGGTGTGAGATAAGCAACTTCTACAGGTCACCAGCAGAGATCTTCCCACCTCACCCCACCTTCCCAGCCAGAAGGATCATGGCATGCATGCCCAGCATGTTTAGGTCAACTGTGGAACCAACCTGAGCTCTTCCATGTGGCTTAGCATCACGTGAGAAGTACTTTACCATGCTCCACTGAGCTGGCCCATGTAATTGTCTTTCTTCTATCATATCCCATTTTATTTCAGGAAATTTATGAAGTTTGTTTACTATGTCACCAATTTTCTGTAATATTTATTTTACTACTTGATATCTTGTACAGATTTAATTCTGTTATCAAATCCCTAGTTTCCCACTAACAATGCCATATTTGCTCTCCCCAACTTTCCTTTGTTATTTTTGTCTTTTCTATCAAATCAACAGTCCCTGATTCTTTTCATAAAGTCTATATAGGTCCTTGCATTTTTTTCACTAGTTCAATGCGGAAAGTTTTTTAAATGTATTTCATTTTTCCTGTAGTAAATCTTTTTTGATTATTTATCTTCCATGTCTTGATTTCTAAATTGTATTTCTTTTTAATGTTGAAGAATATTTCCATACTCTTTAGTTTGCTGGAATATTTTTTCCACTATTGACTCATCCTAAAACAGAAAGAGATTAATCTAGGCCAGATGTTGGCCATAAACAGCTCAGCGTACTCTTGAAAACACTCCCTGACCACCTGTTTGTTATTAGAATCCTATTCTCCAATAGAAAGCCTTGATTGGAAGCTGGCTAATAAAATTTCACTTCCCCAGTTAAGTGAGCCTGGGGAGTTTCAAGAAGAAACTAGATCCTATCCTCGCTGTTTTCCTAGCTTGCCACTGTGTCATGGAGGAAAGGATCTACAGGCATGAGAGGTACTGAGCCCTGTCTTGCTGTCTTCTCAGGACTCCATGTCTCCAGGCTTCTGGCTCTGACACAAGAAGACACTGGCAGGACACAGGACAGTGGAAGAAAGGCAGGAGAAGTCAGTGCACTCCCTCCTCCAGGCCTCACGCGGCATGTTCAGACCTTTAGTGCTCAGGCTCCCACTCCCCTGTGATAAGCCCATCAGAGTACATGGTGCCATTCTCCTTCTCGCAGCTGTTAAGCTCTGGGTTGCCTCGCCAGCCTGAGGGCTCCTGGTTCTTTCAGCATCTCAATAACCAATTCCCTGTACTGACTCCTTTGTTTCAAAATCTTAGCATTTCTTTATGCCCTGGCTGATACCCAAGTCACTATATACATTTATATCTTTCATTTCCTTGAAATTTAAAAAGTAATAATAATAATAACTATGGTAGTAAGGTATTTTTCATTAAATTTTCCTGGTAAATAAGGAAATTTTTAAAAATTCACATTCAGGTGTTTCTACACACACACACACACACACACACACACACACACAGAGTTTCTCAATTTACTTTCATCGTAAGTTGGTCTTTTTTTAGTGCTATGTTCTAAGTTGACATTAAATACTATTGATATTTATATTTTAAAATAAAAATAAAATTTAACCTCCTTTCCCAGATTTTTCCTCAAAGGAAGTTCTTTTCTATAAATGATTTTAATTTTTCAAAGTGCTATATTAATAGAAAGAGAAGCCAAAGAGTTCTTTTGTAACTTTCACCTTAAGTGGAGTAATTGTCATAAAAAATATAGGTTTTTTTTGTTGTTGTTGTTGTTCCTGATATTTAAGAGGGAAAACACTGAAGCATCTCAGCATCCAACCTTGATTTAGTTACAGAATCTTAAGGTCCCAGACCAGCAGATGGCATAATAGTTATGTCACAGGATTCCCACATAGTTGACCACAGTTCAAGTCCCAGATCCAGTGCCTTAAAACTCACCCCAAGCATGCATGCCCAAGATCCCAAGAGGAGAAGGAATTTCAGCATGGCCATCCTCCTGGGGGGGAGGGGCAGTGATTTCTCACTTTCTCTCTGTCTCTGCAATGAATGCACATGCCCTATAGCAAAAAACTTGTCTCTCTCTCT